TGTGGAACCTGGGATTGAACTCAGGCCCTTGCGCTTGCCAGGGAAGCGCTTATTCCACTGAGTCATCTCCCCGGCCCCACAACTGATTACCTTTATTACAATCTCAAATTACATAATTGTTCTAACTCAGATTTATATTATCTAACAAGAATATTTAATTTTTACTCGATGTACCATATTGCAACTATGGACAGCAACATTAAGATGTAAAAAAAAGGGCTGGTGAGATGGCTCAGTGGTCTAAAGCACCTACTTAGAACAAGCTTAGCAAAGCACAGGAGCACAGGGACCGCGGTTCAATCCCCCAGCACCACATGCCAGCCAGCCCCGCCCCCTGGTGGGCTGAGCTGGCCACACACACACACACACACACACACAAATAAATAAATTAAAAAAAAAAAAAGATGTAAAAAAAAGATACTGTTTATAAAGGTTTCCAAGTATCACCTTTTCAGAAACATAATCCCAAATGTCTATATGCAAATTTACCTGGGCTGAGTAGGCTAGAAGAAACAAACACAAACACACACATAGCATTTATCAAGAAAGAATAATTGTAATTAAAATTAATTTTTGTTCTCATCTATATGCACAACACACTAAGCCAATAAAACTTTGATTAAAGGACAGCTTTTTTAGGTGCGTAATGAGAGGGTACAGGTGGGATGAACTACATGTTACAGTTTCTTCTAAGCTGTCCATCAGTAGTTAACAAGTGGCAATTGCCACTAAATGCAATGACAGTGTTAGCTTCCAACTGCCTAAAATGTTGTAGCGCCTTATTTTTTTTTTTCCCAAGGGGATGCCTTTCTGTGTGTGGGGGGAAAACCCAAGTTTTTCTTGCATGTATTCATTCACATTAAAATAAGCCAGTTTTCTGTTGAAAATTGACCATGTCATTTAATAATTAAGGGTCTCCATGTGTTTAAAAAAAAAAAAAATCTGTTTAAAAAGGAAAACCTCGAATCAAATCCTAACACTTGAGTTGGAATGACGACTGCTTCTGTTTTCAGTATTTGGTATATTACATTTCCAGATCTGAAACTTCTATAGTATACAATAAAGCCCTTTAGATTTAGAGCATACTGATTTAAATAACAACAGAGGCACTTTTCTTCTCAGATAACTTTGAAAAGAAAAACTTTATGTACAACAGATCAAGGAAATAGGTAATGCAAGTATCAAAAATATGTTTCTTTTCACTTAAAAAACTTTGAAAAATAACACTATACCTATTTTAACTTGTAAATCTGAATGAAATGACAGGATACACACACATAAGCACAAACACACATACTCACACAAAAATAAGAAAGTGGCAGTGCTTGCGAGGCTGAAAACAGGAGGATCACTATAAGTCCGATCTACATAGTGAGACCCTGTAAACCCTGTACTAAATACTTAATAAATATATATAAATATATGTGTATATATTTTTATATGTAATATATAAAAATATATACACATATATTTATATATATAGCAAGATAGCTCAGCAGTCTAAAGTGCCTGCTTAGGCTAATGGTTTTATCGCTAGCCCTGCCCCCAGGGTGGGCTGAGCTGGCCACCAAGAAAACAAATAAAAAAGATAAAGAAACTGGGATACAAAGTTAAAAGGAAGTGTTCCATACCTGAGTATTTAATGCAGTAGCTGCAAATGGCTAGGAGCAATTAAAATGTGCCTAGTGGAAACGAGGAACCAAATTTTAAACTATAGCTAATTGTAATTCATCAAAATAGAAACAGCCATGCCTGGCTAGGCATACTGCCTTAGAGGTACTGCCACAGGGAACTGTAGGTAAGCATTTGTACTTTAAATTTTCTTTTAAATAATAAGATGTCCCCTAGATGAGCGTACACACAGATGTGCTTAAACTTTTGAAAACACTCTTGTGGTTTATAAGGACTATAAGGCAACATAAAAGTATCATTGCATTTGTGAAACTAAATTTTCCATACAGTTTTCACCATCTAGCAAAGACTGAATGTGTTTTCCCATATTGACTCTGTTGCAAATTTCTTCAGGAATTTCTAAAAAGTAGATGTTTGAATCTCACCCTTAAAGAGTTCTGGTTTAATCAGACTGGACTGATATCTGAGTACAAAAATTAGTAGAAGCTGCTCACCTGAAGCTAAGAGCCAGCGTTGGATGCCACTAAATTATAAAGAAAATTAAAAACTTTAGTAAGCACTGGCGCAGTATACAACTTAAGACACTTCTTGGCTAGTAGGTGAACAGTGCCGTTAAACAAGCCAACCTGAAGTAAAAATTCTGAGGCTAAGTATGAGCTACACATTCTAGACATTCAGGAATGACCTGAGTAGCAATCATTAAGTTTTTGAAATTATTGTTAGTTTTGAAGAAGAGATTACTAGCAAAGAAAACTGAATAGTATTGAGCATCAGCTTGCACTTGCTATTTCTACATGTATAGAATTATTTAATTTCATCCTCAAATTATCTTGGAGGTAGTTATTATATTACTTACACAAAAGTACATTTCAAGGTGTTCTCTAGGTTTTTGTAACCTTTTGTCAGACAGTGAAGTCCTTTACACCCTATAATGCAAAAAGATTCTCTTGAAGAATTTTATAACTTGCAAGTGTGAAAATGTAACAAAAAAGCAAAAGGTTTCAATAGTGGAACACAAGGTAAGGCAAACAAGTTAAACAAGTATTATCAGTCCCCACTCCCATACTTTGTATGCAGCTGAGGCAAACGGGGGGGGGGGGGGGGGGGGGGGGCCCCGGGGGGCTGGGGGGGTGTTTGTAGTTCAAATCTACATCAGCCTTAGAAGTTGCTGGGTTTTGTATGCTAAGAAATTAAACAATTTGTCTCCTACTGCTTTCCAAACTATCAGCAACACTGTAGTCACATATTTAGGAATAGAATTTGACAGATGAGAACTGGGTAGATATCTGGAAAATCAAATCAGAGAAGGATATTAAGGATGTTTTCATTTTTTCCCCAAATGCTAATTGGAACCCCTTCCCCAAAAACAGTTTACAGATTAGTTTTGACCTTACATACATATAATGACTGTGGAATTTATACTTTAACTTAGGCCATTGAAAGTTATGCAGTTATTTACTGATTAAAAGCTATCTTTTACAAATCCAGTTCATGAACTATTTGACTCAGATCTCACTTTTCAAATTGAGAAAATTTTTCAGTAAAGGGGGGTGGTTGCACAGCAACAGATACCACCCTGGCCATCAGCACTGATTTATCTCAAGACAACAGCATTTTCTTTCTCAGGCCCCTACCTTAAGTGACATAAATTCAAACAAGGCGTACTTGGTTACAACAGAAGCCCACAGGAGAATACCATCAACTTGCTACACAAACTTTCATAAAATATATTCAAAAATAAAGAGTGTGTTTACAAGTAAGTAACTAATTTCTCAATGCACTAGCTTTGACTACGCTTGTGTTTCTTTTCGATTTCAAAGAATATTAATTATAGTAGCAACCATACTACAAAAAATGTTGCAATTTATTTTAAAATTACACACTCGGTCAGGAGGAGGAAGAGAAAGACATCCTAGGTTGTCTCAGACAGTCCTTTTCTCCAACATCTTTGCAGATGGGCAAGAAGATGAGCAGGAAAAATACACATCCAATTAAGATGAAAGAAGCCACAATGGCTCCCCATACAATCTATAACTTATTCAAAGTAAGACAAAAAAGCAATGTTGCTTTTCTTAATAGTAAAGAACACAGAGCATGGGGCAACAGCTCAGTAGAATAAGCGCTTGCCTGGCATGTGCAAGGTCCTGAGTTCAATCCCTGGTAAAAAAAAAAAAAAAAAAAAACAAACCAAAAAACCCCATATCTTTCATTCAAAGATGGACATCGCGCATCCACTCTAAAACACTAAGAGGGCCAATTTTTTCACATTCAGATCCCACATTTAGGAAGCATCCCTCAAGCAAGAATGGTGGAACAGGCCTCTAATCCTTGCACTCTGGGAGGATGAGGCAGGATGGAAGGTTCAAGCCCAGTCTGGGCAACTGAGGTGGGGATATAATGCAGTGCCAAGGACTTGGGTTTAGTTCCCAGAAGCCTCCGCTCAAGCTAATTTAAGTTTTACAACTTTGACTCCACATTCAGTAGTGTTAAAACTTGTCCTACTTTTTTCCCCACCCTTTACTAAACTACATATACACATTTTAAAATCTTCTTCATTAGTTACCAGTGTCCTCCGACCCTCAGGTGTCCTACATTTGTTTTTTAGGTCCCGCCTTGAAAACAAACCCACTTGTCCCATTTTGTGAGAAGTAAACTCAGCTCCAGGGAGCTGCCTATGAAGTCACCGCGTTTGTTGTTTCAAAGATGCAATTACAAGAAAATGACACACGGCCGTCAAGGATGAGCTGGAAGAGTACGGCGGTGTGGGTCACAGAAGTGTGAGTGCAATGAAAACTGCACGGCTGCAAATCCTCTGGGCGCAGTATCTGCCTCCACCCTCTCTTCTCTCACGCAGTCACAACAGAAAGAAGCTAAACTCCGTCAGAACAGTCCCGACTCCAGCTCTGCATCAAGCCCTAGGCACGGGGCCCGGGAGACTGGAGGAGGGAGGGTACCTCAGCGGGGCAAGCGGCCGAGTTCGCGTCGCGCGAGGTCCCCTCGGCCTGTCCCAACGCCCTCCGGCCCTGCCACATTCCTCGGCGACCCCGGACGAAGCCGCCCTACAGTCACTGCAGAAATCCGAAGCGGACCGGCGCTTCCCCGATGTGCACTGACCGAGCCGTCGGCGTGGGCGCGAAGGGCCGACGCCACCGCCCGCCACCCGACCTCGCGCCCCTCCGGGGCTGCCCCCCACACCTCGCTGAGTCCCGCGGGGCCGGGCGAGGCTCCCGCTGCAATCTCATCTCCTACCACCGCCACCACCAAAGCGGGGCGCCCTCCACCCTCCCGGCCTCGGGCCCGCGCCGTAACAGCAGGAGGAGCCAAAGCGCGGCCCCGGCCCAGCCCGCACGTGCGCCGGCAGTCCTCACCCGCGCAGCGCCGCGAGCCCGGGTCCCTCCGGCTCTTCTCCGTGGAGCTTCAGGGAGCGTGGGGCGCGCGCGGCCCGCAGCCGCATCTCCCGGACCCGCGCTGCGAACGCCCCGGGCGACCCCGCTGGCCCGGCCCGAGCGCCCGCGCCGCGTCACGGACCTCGCGGAGCTCTGCACGCCTCAGCGCCTGCAGCCGGCGCCAAGCAAGGCCGAGGTATCAGAGGCGGAGCGGAGAGCTCGGGAGCGCTGCTGCTCGCCCGCACGACGGTCCCCGGGGCCAGAGACCATGGTGTGTCACCTCAGCGCCGCAGCCGCCCGAGCGACTCCAACCCTCCGCGGGCTCCACCTCAGGCGGTCGCGCCGGCCCCGCCCCCGGCCTGTCACTCAAGGCTTCTGAGGCCCGCGGTTCGCTGTCCCTGAGCTTCTCTCCATGTTATTGGCCGGTAGGGCTTTCGGGCACGCCCCTCCCGTGGGACTAGGTCGCCCGGGAGATGGGCGCCCGGTTCCCGTGACAACCAGTGCCTGGGGCCTGGTTCGCTGCGAGGCTCGGACGGGCCAGACGCGCAGGTGGACTGCCAGCCGGGAAAGCAGCCGGGTTCCTGACGGGACCAAGCGGAACGTGCAACGGAGAGTCTCCACGCTTCCACCTCAGAAGCAGAACTTAATGCGCCCGGAGAGTGCGACGTGTGGGGTACTACTGCTCTGTCTCCAACAATTTAAATGACCCTCCCGGTCTCTTGCCTAGTTTCCAGATTGTTACCTGAAAGTCTGAGCTTTGGGGGGGCGGGGGTAACCGGACAGAAAGAGCAGAGCCATGCCCCCTTCCTGCAGCTACGCAGCCACCTGACAATGGCGGGGTCAACCAGGACCCCTGGGTGGCCTTGCTGCAGAGTGAGCCCCAAAGGTGTGGTGGCCTTGCTCTCTGAAATGTCCTCAGGGAATCTTCCATACGCATTTTTTACGAAAATAAATGAAAGTAAAATAAGACTTCGTGTCCCAAGAAATGAAAGCAATCCTAAAATTTAAGCCAAAGGTTTAACATAATAACACAATCTCCATTTTTTCTATGCACTCTACAACATGGCAAAGGTATTCTGGTACCTTTCTCTTTTGCAAACTAAAGATCTGAGTTTCAATAATTTACAAGAAAGTCGTGTAGAATTCATGAGCAAATAGTATCTTGTGATTGGAGTTGTTGGTTTATGTTCAGAGGTACAAAGTAAGGAATGCCTCTCCCAGGTTAACTCAGTCTGAGATCCCAATTGTTGTCCCCTGGTAGAGTGTTTACTTCAGGAATGACTCCAGAATGGAGCAATCTGAGGCTTATGTGCCTACCCTTAAAACCTGAAGTCCTAGGCTCCCTGACCACTGAGGCTGCCCTACATGTGCCACGAATGAGGGAATTAATAGTAATGATTTACTTTTCACTGTGCTGGATGGCTTCCCTCAGCTATGCCTAGCTAGTGTGCATTGAATGTAATTACTCGAGAGCGGAGCACAATGCGAAAGGCACAGCAGAATTCTAAGATAAGAGCCCTGCCTTCAAGGAGCTAACCAGAGATCCTGACAAAGCCAGCACTTTTGAAACAGTTTAAAGACTGTAGCTAAAACAGCCCAGCAGATAAGAGAGGAAGTTCTGCAGCAGATAAGGCAAAGTTATGGAGGGAGAGAATTTAATCTGGGATTTGAATGCCAGGTAGTGAGGAATAAATATAGTGAAGATGAGGAAATGCTGTTGAAGGGGAGGGAAACCCCCACAAAACTAAGGAGCAGCAGGAATGAGTGGATAAAGTAACAGTGAGGGAGCTTTTTGGAGTAAAGACAAGGGAAGGTTGGAGGGGTTTTTTGTGGTGGTTGTTGTTGGTGGTGGGTTTTTTTCCTCCCGTCTGTGGTAGATAAGCTTGACTGTGTCTACTTGATTGGCTTGGGAACTCCCTGAGGGATTCTGGACTTCGCTTTGCTAGGTGAGTCCAGGAGGTGTGAGTTTGGAGACTCTGTGTAGCCTCTGGACCCTTTCTTTCTGGCGCTGTTTAACTGCTCTGTTTCTGGGATGCCATGAGCTAAGCACCCTGGCTCCTCCAGGCCTTGCACCATTAGTCTCCACATTGGAGCCAGCTGACCATGGACTGAATTCCTTGGAACTCTGAGCCAAATTAAACTTTATCACCTGTAAGTTGTGAGTGTGGGTCCCAGTGACAGAAAAGCTCATTGACACATAGCCTTTCCCCCAATTTTCAGTCTTGTGATTTATGTCTCAGGGCAGTGAGACAGGCAAGCTTGGAAGGACAAAAGCCTTCATCCAACATCTGCCTCTGTCACTGAAAATGCATATATTTTTAAAAGCAAAGTAATATCCATAATACCTGCAATAACTTGTGAAGTCATGTCAGAAAGCATAGAGACTGGTGTTATAAATTTTCACAAAAGTAGACAAACCACAGTGTTGGATTTTTTTTCTTTTGCATGAAGGCCATTTCAGGTGGTTGCCTTCAAGGCTTTTCCCTCAGTAATCCCTCTGTTTGGAATGAGCTGAAAGACTAGTTTTAAAATAAAGCCATATATACAAAAGGGAAATCCATAGGTTAATCTCCTTTTTGGAGATAATGAAAAAATAAAAATGTAACAGATTGATCTAGCACTATATTATAAATGATATGCCAACAGTAAGAGGAATTCTTCCAGATTTATAGGAATGTTTTGATAAAAGAACATTTTGTATAACATTGACTATTTTAATAGGTCAAGGGAAAAAAAAGTATGTTTCAACTGATGCTGAAAAGATTTTATAAAATGCACAATTCCTAAGAAAAAATATTTTAAGAATTTTCAGGGCCAGCCAAATAGCTCAGTGGATTAAAGTACCTGCAAGTAGGCACAGGGGCTGGGGGTTCAATTCCTGGGCAAATAGGGCCACCCCGGGGCACGCTGAGAAGCCAATTGAGTCTGAGCATGGTAGCGCGCTTGTAATCCTACCTCTTGAGAGGCTGTAAACAGGTGGATCACTGAGTTCAATCTAGTAGTGATACCCTGAACACTCTGTAGACCCTTCCCTAAAATACAAAAAAAAAAAAAAAAAACCTATAGAGGACTTTGAAATAGATGTTATACTAATAGATATGTTACCCTAAACAAATATGTTATACCAACTTGCTTTATAATGAAATACTGTAATTGTTTCTACTGAAGCTAGGAACAAGACAAGAATGCTTACCTTCAGACCATGTTAAACTAATAGTCAATGCAATTAGATATGAAATAAAGATAAGAAATTATATAGAATACTGTGTAAATGAGTCAGTATTGTTATTTTCTTGCAAATAATATGAAAGCCCACAGTCAAGTAAAAAACATTTACAAGAGGTAAAAGATGATTTGAAGCAACTAGTTATAAAATTAACATAAGGCTAGGAAGATAGCTCAGTGGCATAAGTGCTTGTCTGTCAATTACAAGTTCCTGAGTTTGAACCCTGATACCAAAAATAGGTAAATAAGTAAAATTAGCATGAAAAAGAGCTTTTCTATATGTAAACCATAAGCCATTAGAAAATACAATGTAAACCAGACAGGTTGGCTGCAAGCTGTAATCCCATCTACTTGCAAGATTGAGAAGGGAGGAATACAAGTTTTGAGGTCAGCCTGGGCAATTCAGTGAGAGTTTGTTGGGAGCCATGAAGCTGGGAATCAATCAAATGTATGAAAGCAGGACAATGTCTCCTCAGTGTCTAAAGTAGTCAAGCTCCCTCAGTCCTGAGATGAACATCCTGACAGTTTAATGTCAGCTATTAGTTACTAGGTGACCTTGCGTCACATGTTACTAACTTTGCAAAGGTATAAATGCCCACACTGTTGTTCTGGGGTCTTCTCACCAGCCAGGCAGGTGGGCCACCACCTAACCCAGCTTTTGTTTTATCTATCCTTTCCTCATTCCTGCTGCTGTTTCTCCCTGGGTACAATGGATCACACTGAGAAACCAAAAGATCCCTGCAAGACCTAGTCTCAAAATAAAAGAAGATCTAGAGATATAGTTCAGTAGTAATTAGTTTGCCTAGCATGCTCAAAGCCTTGGGTTCAATCCATAATACTATATATTTTTTAAAAAAATTTGTTGAATAGGAGAAACATGGGCTGGAGATACAGCTCAGCAGCACAGCATCTGCCTACCAAGTGCAAGGTTCTGAGAGAGAGAGAGAGAGAGAGAGAGAGAGAGAGAGAGAGAGAGAGAGATGATACCATTTATCACTATCAATTTGTGAGGTGGTTTTTTTTTTTTGTTTTGTTTTGGCAGAACCCGGGATTGAACTCAGGCCGTCGCGCTTGCCAGGGAAGTGCTTATCCCACTGAGCCATCTCCCCAGCTCAATTTGTCAGTATTTTAAAAGACTTATAATGTCTAATACTGGTTAAAACATGGGAAATGGATAATGTCCCATGATTATTTGTAGGGCTGTAGGTGGATTCCACTCCATTTGGAAATGTGTGTGTCCCATTTATGTCTATAAATATAAATACACATACTTAGAATATCATGGGGGGCTGTATGGGGCAATCTATGAGCCCCATATAAAAATTACTATGACACACTTAGTACTGAGGACTGAGGTCACGAACATCCTGAAGTCCATACACTACTTGGTGCTCAATTAAGTTTTTTCCAGGCAGTGCATTCATATGTTTCAAAAAGTTCTGCCCAGAACACTAAGGTTATGTACTTTAAATGACAATGTTTAAAATGACCCCTTTACCTCCAAGACTGAAATTAATTCTGAGCTAATCTAAATCTGTAAATAGCAGAGTTTTCCCAGCTGGCTTCATGTGATGGTCTCAATGTGAAATATTTGTACTCTGACTTGGACTAGCTACCTTAGGGGTTTTTTCTTTTCCTTGCTAAACCCAGCAGTGTATTATCTCTTCTTGCTTAAAGGACTATGATGGGCACTTTGCCCAGATGAGAAGCAGGAGCAAGATAAATAATCCAGCAAAACATGAGCAGGTAATTGGAGCACAGGCTCTGACAATGCTTGAGGAAGGCTTTGTGAGGCTGTACTAACACTTGCAAGTGGCCCAAGAATTAGCCAGGGGAAAAATGCAGGGATAGAAAACAGATAGGACTACAGTTACCCTCAGGTCTGGTGAATAAACAGGTTATTTTCTTTCGGTGGCAGTCAGACTCTCTAAAATATGAGAATTCCCCTAGGACGTCGAGTTACATGACAGCAATGGCACAGAAAATTCTAAATATTGGGAGGCAGCCTGAAGCTTCAATACCTAGAAAAGAAGATGCAACTACGAACCTTGGCACACAGCCTGACTT